ACACCAGAAGACGGCTAATTGACACATTTTGTTACATGCAACTTCAAAATGTTCCTATGTACATATCTAGAAATATTCCTTTTTTAAGGTGCTAAGGATTGAACCCAGGATCTTGTATATATAAAGCATGCACTTTAGCATTAAGCCATCTTCCCATCCCATTGATTTATATAAAGTCAACACAAGAGACCGAATATAGAGCTAGTGCATGCTATCATTTCATCATCCAGCAGACAGAGCCAGATTTGTCAATTTGTTGGCTTGTTTGTTTTTGTTTTTCAAGACAGTTTTCTTGTATAGCCATGGTTGTCCTGAAACTAGCTCTGTGTAGATCAGTCTGGCCTTGAACTCAGAGATTCGCCTGCCTCTGCCTGGGATTAAAGGCCTGGGACCTGCCTCCCCTTGCCTCCCATGCAAGGTTTGTGAAACTGAAGACACCCATAGGTTACACAGTAGGGTACTGAAACCAAACCAAACCAAACAATTAAAAGGAAGAAAATACACGAAGGGAAAAAAGTAACTTGACAAAGATGAAGTTTGGAGCCATAGGAAAGGTCTACAAGGCACCTGAAGTGTGCCTGGTTTAGTGCGTGTATCTAAAGAGGACACTGAGCACCGGAGTAGGCAGGCACTGTTTGTGAGCAGGGGGCCATCGGCAGCAGAGCAAGGACTGGGCTGTGAGTCTCTTCCAGCACCACACTGTGCTGTTTTCTCTAGGGTAAGTTTAGGCAAATGGATTTTATTTCTGCCGTGTGTTCAGTCAGAGATGACCTCAGTTGTAAGACTAATTAATGACCCTGCAATCCCACAAGGCCCTCTGAAAATCACAAACTAGCAAGAGGCATTACAATACAGGAATGCTTCAATTCCACGTGCCCTCGCAACTGCTCAAGAGGACTCTGGGGCCCGGAGACAAATAACTCACTGTATGTACTAATCACGGCGGGAATGAAGAGCAGAAAGAGCCTCCTTTTTTAAATTTTCACATCAGTATTCGAGCCTAACCTCAGCTTGGCATTGAGCACCTTTTGGCAGAAGAGACGCAGCCCAGACGAGGCACAGTCGCAGCTTTGAATTCTACAGCTCTAGTTAAAGCTTGGGTTAGGGACGTGATGCAAGGCAGGGTGTGGGTGTGTTGGAATGTGATTGTATTCAAAGCAGCTTTCTACTAACTTTCTTTTAAAAACTGATTTTATTATATTATTTATGTGTGTTTGAGAGAGAGAGAGAGAGAGAGAGAGAGAGAGAGCAAGAGAGACAGCGCTAGCCAGCCCACAGAGACCAAAGCTCAGACTCACGCAGCTAGAATGACAGGTGGCTGTGAACAGCTCGAGTCCTCTACACAAGCAGTCAGGCTCTCACCAGCCCTGTGGTTAACGTCTTCAGTCCTAGGACCCTGCTGCCTGAGTGCACAGGCCTCTGGCTACAGCATGGCTGGGATTTCAGAGTCCAGATGCCAGGGCTAACCTTACCCACATAAACCTCAACTAAACGGGAACCAATCTAGGACTCTATTGCCCTTCATTCCTCCCTGAAGCCTCCACAAGGCTGGGTCTGTAGACAGCCTACTACTCACTCGTCTTTGCACAGGGTCTGGGAAGCGAAACTTTAGTTCTAGAAAATGGGCTTTCCCTGACATCTAAAAGCAGATGGATCCTGTTTCTTTGATAGAAGCCCGTGGTCTGTCTGGGCTGATTCTGCTAGTGTTCCACTCTGTTCTATTATTTGAGACAGGGTCTTACTAAGTAGCCCACACTGGCCTTGATCCTTCTGCCTCTGCTGGCTGAATGCTGGGGTGGCAGGTGTGCCCCTACTCTCCACTAGCTAACATTGTTTATAAACGAGAAAATCTGAAGAAAACACTCATGATATAGGACTTATGTGACATCAAAACTTTCATGGCTATCAGACACTACGGCAGTCTTGGAGGCCTGAGCAAGGTTCCAAAAACATGAAACTGTGTTCCCATGAGTCAGCTTTGGATTCCAGGCTTGGTCAAGTCTGTAGACAGAAATGTAACTGAGAACTCTAAGGCACTCCAGACACAGATCTTAATCTCTCCATATCCTCTCAGATGGCACAGTGTAATGAGGTGAACAGAGGGAGCGCCGGGTAAACACGCACTAATGAAACTGGAGCTGGCATGTGAGGGCATCCCTCTGCCACTTCCGACGGAGAGAATGAGATCCGCACCCTAGACATGCCAGGGTCAGGGATTCAGAACACTTTGACTGCTACAGTCAGGCCCAGCTGGTGTCTGAGTCGTGCAACCTCCCAGGGAGTTTTCCAAGACAACATTTTTGACTCCAGCTAGAGCAGGTCAGGCAGACAGCCGAGGGCAAGCACTGACTAGAAGTCTTTATGCAGGCGGCATGTGGAAGAAGTATTAGGGAAGATGAGCAATGAAACAGAAATAAGGTCACGTCCAGGTCTCAGGAAGCTTACAGTGAGCAGGAGCTGGTATTTAATGAGGGCTGGCTCTGGGCCAGACATGTGTATTACTTATGGGTACTGGCTTTGGTTTTTACTATTTCCATTTCTATTTTATTTTATTTTGAGACAAAGTCTAGCTATGTAGCTCAGACTGGCCTCGAACTTACAATCCTCCTATATCAGCTTCCTAAGTGCTGGGATTACTGGGTGTGTGCCACCACACATGGCTCTCTGATTTGTTTGATCCTAACAGCTTGAGGTGGCACCAAGAATTCCTATTTCAGAGACAAGGAAATGGAGGCCCCACAGAGTAACTTGTCTATGGACAAACTTATGCAGTGTTGCAGGCACAGGATCTAGCTTCTGCCCACGTCATTCCAGAGCTCAGGACATGAGCGCTCACACTGTCCTGCACTTGCTAATAGAGGACAAATCATACTGCACTTCAATTCAGGAGACCTTACTATTCATGATGTTCCTGTCTGCCTTTGACACTTCATGAGTGACTCCAAGGTACTCCATCAAGTACATGCTAACTAACCATCTTACTGAGGGGAGTGGGGACTGGGGCAGAAGGGATGTCAACACAGCCAAGGAGCCATGAAGACAGGAAACTGAGCTGGCAAAGACCTGAGCCTCTACTGCATTGTCTCATATGGTACAGAGCAGGATCTATGGAAATGAATTACATGATCTTTTTACATGTTGTCTAAGTGTTTACAGATAGAGGTCTAGGGAAGACATTTTAAGAATAATTTATACCTTAAGTGGTATTCTCAGAGATTGGAGGAATGAATATTTTTTTTTATTTTGTGTGTGCCTGTGTACACATGCGTGCACGCCTCTGTGTGTGTGTGTGTGTGTGTGTGTGTGTGTGTGTGTGTATGAAAGAAGGCCAATGTTGACACTGGGTGTCTTCCTCAATTGCTCTCCACTTTATTTTTGAGGCAGGGTCTCTCACTGAATTTGGGACTTGCCAATCCAGTTAGGCCAACTGGGCAGCAAGCCCCAGGGATCCTCTTGTTTCCACCTCCCCACTACTGGGGGTATAAGAACACATTACTGTTCTTGCTTGTTTTTTTTAAATTTGCTTTTATTTGTGTGTTTGTGTATGCGTGTGTCTGTGTGTATGTGTGTGTTTCTGCCTGTCTATATGTATGCCATGTGTGTGTAGTGCCTAAGGAGGACAGAAGAGGGTATCAGATCCCCCTGGAACTGGAGTTAAAGACAGTTGTAAACTGCCTAGTATGGGTTCTGGGACCAGAAGCCAGTTTTTTTTTTTTTTTTTTTTTGCAAGAGCAGAAAAAGTTGAGTCATCTCTCTATTCCCTTATTCTTGGTTTTTTATGCGGGTGATTTTTTTTTTTTTTTTTTTTTGGAGACAGGATTTCTCTGTAGCTTTGGTGCCCGTCCCGGAACTAGCTTTTGTAGACCAGGATGGCCTCGAACTCCCAGAGATCTGCCTGTCTCTGCCTCCCGAGTGCTGGGATTAAAGGCGTGCGCCACCTCCGCCCGGCTTGCGGGTGATTCTTATAGGGATCAAACTCAGATCCATATCCTTGCAGAGTGTGCTGATTAGTTTTCTGACTTGATACACAGTGGAGTGATCTGGGATGAGGGAACCTCAACTGGGGAACTGCCTCCAACAGACTGGCCATTGTGGGTGGTGCCACTCCTGGACTGGTGGTCCTGGGTTGTATGAAAGAGCAGACTGAGCAAGCCATGGAGAGCCAGCCAGTAAGCAGCTTCCTCCATGGTCTCTGTTTCAGTTTCTGCCTTGAATTCCTGCCTTGGTTTCCCTTGATGATGCATAAGTCAAATAAACCTCTTCTTTCTCAAGTTGCCTTTGGTTAATGTTTACCACAGAACAATCTTTCTAATATCTGTTTTTATTTTCAAAATCAATCAGAGTGTTCCCTGAACTCAAAATGCCCAAATTTCAGAGTCTGAACAGGTGAGAGATGAAAAGAAGTGACTTTGCCGTAACATACAACTCAGTTCGTCAGGGCTCAGATGACATGAACTAAGTCTTTGTTTCCTTAGGTCGGAGTCTCACTATATACTGTACATTGGCCGTGAGCTCTAAATCCTATTGTTTTAGTCTCCTAAGTGCTGGGACTACAGGCATGTGTCATCATGCTCCAGCAGAGAATCAGCTGAGGAGCTTCCTGGGGAGGTGAGTTCTGACTCTCCCTGCTCAGTCTCACAGGCCCTCTACCCAGCCACTCAGAGCCTCTGCTGGACTTAGAACACTGACCCTTATCCCTCCAATACCAGTCCTCGGAGAAATCTGAAACATTCAGTCTTATGTCCCTAAGACAGTTTCCCCTAACTTGTTTTGTGACCTTCTGTACATGTGACTGAGGTTGTGATTATCTAACTGATCTGAGTCCCATCTGGGCTACAATATGAGAACCTATCTCAAAAATTAAAACAAGGAAGCAAAAGGAGTGGCCAAGCAACCATATTTCTGTACTTCAGGGAAACCTGTCGCGGTCTCTTTAGACTGAATCTGCCTGAGCCCATATGCTGGATCCTTAATAAAGTACTGCAGGAAGTTCTCCTTACCTGCTCTGCTCCCACCATGCTGATTGGCTTGCACTTGAAGAGGTGGGTGATAAATTTGGGGATGAATGAGCTGTTGATAGAAAAGTGACAAGTTAAGCTTATTCTCCTTGTAGTAAAGGGCTGTAGAAACTTATTTATTTATTTATTTGAGGCAGGGCTTCTCTGTGTAACCCTGAAATTTTCTCTGTAGACCAGGCTGGCCTCAAACTTACAGAGCTCTGCCTGCCTCTGTTCCCGAGTGTGGGTATTAAAGGTGGCAAATGGCAGAAACTTTTTAAGGCTCTACTTCCTTTCATGAGGAAACCGAGACTCCGGGTGGACACTATATTCCCCTATACCCCCCACACAGCCTACTCTTTCCTTCTAACTTCAGCTCCAGTTTTGTTTAGGAAGAACAGCCTGGGATTCTGCAGAAAGCTCACCCCATCTTAAGCTGGAGAGGTGAATTATTTTTGTTTGTGGTGTTGGGGATGGAACTCAGGTGGCAAGAACTCTAGCACTGAGCCACACGCCAGTCCTACAGAGGTCAATACTACTGAGCTTCAGCCAGTTCCACTGGTGACTGTTTCAGGTCCTAAGAGGGAGAATTACCCTATGGCAGTCTAATAACCTGGAGGAAAGGACCTCACAGCAAGGCTGGTGTGAGACTCCCTCTTCCTGCTTAGGGCACTGTTGAGCTAGATAAACACCTACACTTGTCATTCTACCATCATTCTGAGGAGGTGGCCAGTGTCCAAGAGAATATCCCAGGTCAAAAGCCATCAAAACACTAAAGCAATTGGTTTTTTGAGACAGGGTTTCTCTGTGGTTTTGGAGCCTGTCCTGGAACTAGCTCTTGTAGACCAGGCTGGTCTCGAACTCACAGAGATCCGCCTGCCTCTGCCTCCCGAGTGCTGGGATTAAAGGCGTGCGCCACCACCACCCGGCTCAAGTATATATATTTTTATTTTAGTATATGTGTCTGTGTGTGTGCATGTAACCATGTGTGCAGGTTCCAGGGAGGCTAGAAGAGGACATTGGATCCCTGGGAGCTGGAGTTACAGGCTGTTGTGAGCTGTTCTATGTGAGTACTGAGAACTGAACTGGAGGTCTCTGCAGAAGCAGCATGTGCTCTTAACTACAAAGCCATCTCTCCAGCCTAAACCAACCACTCTAGAGCCCTAACTTCCTCTAGACTTGAAGTTATATAAAGTTTTAAAAATCCATCTTGTGCCAAGTGTGGTGGCACATGCCTTTAATACTAGCACTCAGGAAACAGGCAGGCAGATTTCTTGTGAGTTCAAAGTCAGCCTAGTCTACATAATGAATTCTAGGACATCCAGAGCTACATAGTGCAACCCTGTCTCAAAAAAACAAAAACAAGCAGGGCAGTGGTGGCACATGGGAGCAGAGACAGGCGGATCTCTGTGAGTTCAAGGCCAGCCTGGTCTGGTCTACAGAGAGAATTCCAGGATAGGCTCCAAAGCTACAGAGAAACACTACCTTAAAAAAAAAAAAAAAAAAAAAAAAAACCAACCAACCAACCAAACAAACAAACAAACAAAAAAACCAAACCAAAACAAACAAAAAAAATCCACCTTGCCATTCAAGCCCATTTGAGTACCAGTGAGTGAAAATATCCGAATAGTGGCAAGAGCTGAAGCTACATGGGCAGTGTGAGGGTATCTAGCTAAGGCAGTAATTCTCTTACCAAACAAAAATTACAAGATTTTAAAAAAAATCTGCCAAGCACTGGGAGACAACTTAGGCCAGGGGGCCTGGTAACGCTGTTTAGGGTGAAGGACAGTGACAGTCCAGCAAGTCAGGGCCTGAGTCAAGGAGGCTGTTGTGCTGCTGTAGTTCAAAAGCTGTGGAAAGTAGACACGTGCATGACTAGATAAGATCCAGAGTGTGCTGAGCAGGCGGTGCCCCAGGGCCCTGGACCACGGAGGAAAGACGGAAAGGGGCAAGGTTTCCACCAAGGCTGGCTGCCATCTGTCTCCTCCCTCCTCCATGCTTTGTCCGGGTCCTTCTGTCTCGCCACATCTTCTCTGCACACTGCAATCACGTTGCTAACTAAGGACTTCTGGGACAATTTCATGGAATAGAGGTATTCCAGTTTAGTGGGTGAGAGAAGTCATCTGTAATCCAAACTGCATTTTCAACCAGGAGTGGCCTTGTTAAGTTATTATGTCGGAGGCAATGCAGCCACAGATGGACTAACAATTGTGGAGAAGGAAAGGAAGCAATGGAAGAGAACCCACAGTCCAGGGAGGAGTGGGCCTACTAATCTAGAGGGAGTGTGAATAAGAGGGTCTGGAGGGGTTCTTGGCCCTTAACCTGAGCCAGCCAGGTAAAGCGAGGCTAAACTTGGGACTACTCACACCTGCACACCCGGCTTGTAACGGAAGCTCCTTCACACTGGAGTGCTGAGGCTGTGCCCTTGCCCTTGCCCTGACTAGTCCATGCTGGGTGATCAGGAGAAACACGGGGATAATCCAGGCACAAGTCTTTGGAGAAGAAAAACCAGCAATGTGATGTGTCATTGCCAAGGGTCACCAGGATGGAAACAGTGGCTACTGGTCTGGGCTGAGATTTTATAATCAAGGGAGGGTACCAAGAGTTAAAGCACAAAACTTTCTAAACTTTCTAGGTCTACAGCCAAACTTTTCCAGATGTGGGGGATGGGCACCCTATTCCCAGATCACTCAGAATGAGCTTAGTAATAAAATGAAAAGGCGGTGACAGAATGTGAGGTTGACACTGGACGGGCTGAGCAACGGACTCCTCATTCACTTCAACCTTAGCTCAATCGGACCCCTGGGTGCCCACAGTGGAGGTTTTGAGTCACAGCAGAGTTTTACAGAGATAATGTAGCAGTGGTTACAGGGAACGTCACTGTGATTTATCAGCAGTGCTTTTAGTACACATTAATGAGCACCCAGAGAGGGAAGGGAATGTCAGCTCTGGTCCATCTGCGGCCTGCAAACATAAGTGCTCCCTGGGGAGTCAGCCCAAGCCTTGCTGATGAGCTTGAAATTAAAATTAACTCTACAGCTACTCTGTCACTGTTGTTCCTTGGGGTTTATTTATGTCAGATGGGGGAATCTAATTGAATACAAACCGGGAGAGATTTGGGGAAAAGAGCAACTCAGAAGCCTGAGTCACCAGTTGGGACCTGGATGAGAACAATCCAAATACGGTAGCTTGGACAGCACTGACCTTCCTGAAGCAACTTGCCAAACTGTGTGTCTGATAATTGGTCAAAGGAGACACTGGCCCTCATCACTGCCTGGCCTCTGGGGAAACAGGGCCGGAGCCAGATGTTGACTGGCAAAGAACCAAACTACTTCCTTGCTTCAAAATTCAAGGCAGAAATGGCCACACACGAGGACATGACCAGAAGGCAGGGAACGTGGCGCTTGCTCTATCACTTCGGCACTGGAGCTCAACAACTTGCTGCTCCTAATTTCTAGTACTTTGCCTGGACGTAACGACACCCACAAGCGGATAATCTCTGGCAGCTACAATAACAAGTCCTATGGAGGAGGAAGAAGAAGCAAAGGCTCAAAGGCACAACCGATGGTCCAACTCCTGAGTTCAGACTCTAGTCAGATAAAATGCTCGCATGAACTTACTGAGAAACAAAAACCTGAGCAAGGAGAGGTTTCATGTACAGAACTGAGAAGAGCAAGATACCCCAAATTGTTCCTGTCTGCCATGGCTGAAGCCTGCTGCTCTAAGCACGCACGTGTCCTAAAGTGACCCATTCGCTCCTACCACTATAGCCCTTCGGAGGACAGAAGAATGTTAGTTTTCCTGGAGGCCCCAGATGAGCCCAGCTAGAAACTGGGCATGCTGGGTAGAAAGTAGAGCAGTAAAGTAAGTCCACTGAGAATGACACCAGGGCCATCATAGGTCTCTCCCCACTCAGAGAGGTACACCTGGAGAGCGATCCCGGGGTCGACTGCCAGTGCGGCTCATGAACTGCACAATTCCTGGCAGGGAAATGGCCATGGGCATCTCCTGCTCATTTATCCTGGGAGATGAAAACAAGAAGTGAGTCAAGAAACAACTCAGGACTTACTTTGCGAATTTAATGCAGAACTGCGTGAAGTATTTCCGTGTGGAAGCCAGGTTGTCTCGGATGATAGGGACGTTCTGCTTAATGTGGAGAATAACAGAAGTGACGTAAGGGCTCTGGTCACCAACATGCTCCACATTCTGCCATGGCATCTGAAACAGAGACAGGACAGGCCCAGGTTTTAGAGATGCTACCGGGGAACAGTGTTATCTAGTACCAAGGAAGGGGTGTGGGGGTGGAAATTAGGTCACTTGGTGCTACAGGGATTGGCCTCGGCCAACATACTAGCTCTGTGACACAGGCTGCTCTGAATAAGAACAAGCCTCACCGGTGGCATGGAGTGCAGGCTCTGTTTCTTTTCCTACTGTTCCCACCTAAGCAAAGCTGTGTAAGGGATGCTCACCACATCACTAGGCAGAGGGTAAGAATCTGTCTAAACCCAGAGAATAGTGGTTCTCAACTTGTGGGCTGCAACCCCTTTGGGATTGAATGACCTTTCACAGGGGCTAAATATCAAATATTTATATTATGATTCATAACTAGCAAAATTATAGTTATGAAGTAGCAACAAAAATAGCTTTTTGTTGTTTTTTTTTGGGGGGGGGCGTTCGAGACAGGGTTTCTCTGTAGCTTTGGAGCCTGTCCTGGAACTAGCTCTTATAGACCAGGCTGTCCTCTGCCTCCTGAGTGCTGGGACTAAAGGCGTTTACCACCACCGCCCAACAACAAAAATAATTTTATGGCTGAGAGCCAACACAACATGAGATGTTAAAGGATCACAGCATTAGGAAGGTTGAGAATCACTGCCATAGAGAGACACAACCACCAGGACTGAAGAACGGGCAGGAGTGTTTACTCCAGGTACTTGTAGCTTGAGAGACTGGAGAGATTTAGCAGTTGGGCTCAATGTGGTGAAAACCAGAAACAAGTAGAAGAGATTTAACTTAGACACCCTTTTCCAAGTCAACTGGGAAGAGTTTGGGATTTTATTATTGTTATTTATTGGTTTCTTGAGACAGGGTCTTACTTTGTAGTCCAGGCTGGCCTGGAACTTACTATGTAACTTAGGTGGGTCTTAAACTTACAACAATCTTCCTGACTCAGTCTCCTAGCTACAACCTTCCCCTCTCCCCCTAATACATACAAGTACACACACACAAGTACATGTGTGGCTGATGTGATCTTTGACTAGTTAAGAACAACAAAAATGAGCTGGGTGGTGGTGGCTCATGCCTCTAACTCCTGCACTTGGGAGGCAGATGGATTTTGTGAGTTTAAGGCCAGCTTGATCTACAGAGTGAGTTCCAGGGCAGCCAGGGCTCTTACACAGAGAAGCCCTGTCTTAAACAAACAAACAAACAAACAACCAAAACCAAAACAAACATAAAAAGAACAAAAATAAGGCTGAGAGTGGTGATACACACCTTTAATCTCAGCACTCAGAAGGCAAAGTCAGGGGGATCTCCATGAATTGGAGACCAGCCTGATCTACCTAGTGAGTTTTAGGACAGCCAGGGTTATATAGACCCTGTCTCAAACAAAACAAAGTAAAATAATAACAAAAACAAAACAGAACAAAAACCCCAAAATAAACAAATAAAATGGAGTTCAAGCTTGCACACCCAAGGGAGAAGCAGGGGCATGGCCTGGAAGGCAGGAAGAATTAACAGTGTAGACTCTGTCGTTTAGTGGAACGCAGGAGGGCTGGGGGCTCTCAGCTTATGTCATCTAGCATGTACTCATTCCTGACCCTGTCTTGAAGGAGCCCTGCTGAGCTGGCCTCTCACAGCCTAAGAGGGACGCCTGTTCAAAGCCCTCTTAAGCCAAACCAACCCTTTGGATCCATTCAGAAGGGAGGTCAGCAGCTCTAAGGCTTTCATGTCTCTGGCAAGAAAACACTTATTTTTATAGAAGTGAATCTAGGTTATCTCAAAAGCAACATGTTCTCTTAATCTCTGAGTCAGCTCTCTACCCGCCCCCCCCCACCTTCATTTTACAAATAATGTGAAGAGCCTCTTGCAAAACTTCAAATCAGCTTTTGAAGCTGAGCGTGATGGTGTATGCCTGTGATCCCAACATTTATAGGCTGAGGTTTGTGAGCTTGGGGCCAGCCTGGACCATTTAAGTAGCACTCTGTCTCTACCAAAACAAACAAACAAAACCCAAGTAAACAAACACAGGCTCCAGATAGAGAAGGGGAACTCTGTCAGCAAGTAAAGGCACTTGTTGCCAAGCCTGACGCCCTGCGTTCCCTACCTGGGACCTACGTGGTAGAAGGAAGACTACTGATGATTGTAACTTGTCCTCTGACCTCCACACATGCCTATGGCATATGTGCGCACACACACATACAAAATAAATACATTTTTAAAGATCTCTAAAAAAAGAAAGAGGAAATCTTATTTATGGATCTGTTGATTGACTGAGACAGAACTGCATTGTGTTGTTCAGGCTGCTCTCATGACTTCTGAACTTGAGAGCGCTTCCTAGCTCAGCCTCTCTAGTAGCTGGAAGTACAGCCTTGTTTGGTAGTAAAAGAAAAAAAAAATTATCTGGGAAAACATAGAAACAATGGAGAAACAGTTAAAGCTCCAACAGGAGCTGCCTGTACAGTGAGCTATGTGTAATGTTTTCCTCATTATCTGTTACCTTATTTGAGAGGCTTTTCTTTCATCCCATTTTAAAGATCTGATCCTACCAAACAATGAACGTCCTGATTCCCAGTGAACTCATAGGGTAAGGCCCAAACTGACACCCTTCATCTTCCTCTTCCCAGTTCTATAGCAAAGCTTGGAACACAGGCATGAGCAAACATGGGGAACAAACATGGGGAATTGGGCAGAGGGAATTTCATGTCCCACCTCGAATCAACATACAAATGACAAGTGCCTCCCAAGCTGACGGCACTGGATAGTTTACGATCTTAGTGTAGTTTATAAACAATGATTTAAAGATGACAGCTCCCCACTCGAAGAACACAGCTATAAAGAGAAGTGGTGACATGTTCTGTCACTGGTTATAAAGCATCTCTGATGCAAGGCAGATTGTAGCTGCGTGGCTGCTTCAAGTTCTTGCTAGTTAGCTAGATGGATATCACACTGATGTTCACATATATCATGTGAGGAGATTCCCACCTGCTTTAAGTTTTAGTCAAGTACAGTCAAATTGAAAGAAGTTTAGCAAGTATTCATGGTTTTAAACTTTAGTTAGCTTAATGAAGAAAATAATTTACAGTACTGGGAAATAATGAGAACTGACATTGTTCTTATTGTATGTGTTTATGTATGTGTACATGTGTGTGCATGCGTGAGTGGAGGCCAGAGGCCAACCCTGGGTACTGTTTCTCAGGAGTCTACTTTGTTTTGAGACAGGTCTCTCACTAGTTGTGGGGGTTGGCCACCACATGCCAAGGATCTGCTTGTCTGTACTTCCCCAGTGCCACAGCACCAGGCGTTTTACTTGGGTGCTTATCATGGCAGTCACTTTACTGACTGAATTATCTCCTCAGCCCGTTTTTATTTTCTTGTGTTGGGAAAGGAACCCAGGGTCTCCGTGCTCTACCTGTGAGCTTCAGTCCCAGTCCTTGTTTCTCAACCTCATGCTTTCTGGTGTTTTGAGACAGGGTCTCGCCCTGTAGCCCTGCCTATCTAGGCCAGGCTAGCTTTGAACTCCTGGTAATTCTTCTGCCTCAGCTCCACAAGTGCCGATCACTAACACACACCACTATGCTCAGCAACCAGCCCATTTCTATTACTAAAAAAAAAAAATGTACAAAAGACAGTCAGCAGTGCCTGTGCCTTGATACCACTCCAGTTGGTTGACGCCTGCCCTCAACTACCCCAGATGGTTATGGCTTAGGTTGCTGTGTATTTTGGGGGTACAAGATCTTACCATGTGGCCCAGGCTGGCCTGGAACTCAGAGATTTGTCTCTATCTTCCAAGTGCTGGGCTCAAAGGCCTGCACCACCATTTCTGGTCTTAGCTGTAATGTAAATTGTCAAAAAACTGGGTGTGGTAACATGTGGGAGGACTACCATAAACTAACGGGTACCCTGGCTTGAACATCAAGACCATGTTCCCTAAAACAAGAAAGAAACTAGGTAGCAGTAAGAACAGTCTGATGGCTGTGCGTGTGGTGTGTGTGTGATGTCGTTTAGTTCTGATAGTCTGATAGAACAGGACACTCCAATGCCACCGCTCAGACAGGCAGGCTCATCTAAAGCCCTGCCCTACACAAGTGCGCTTGTGAGACACTTGTCAGAAAGAGAAAAGCACCTCTGTTTGGGTGCATGCGGCTGTCAGGCAAATCTCAGCAAAGGGCACAAATGGCATCCGTGCTAGAATGAGCACAGCAAAAAGTAAAATTCCAGGACTTCCAGCTAAATTCTGGCACTCAGCATTTAAGTTACCCTTTTATAATGAGATTTTTCTTTTGTGCCCTCTGTTTGGGGGTGAGGTGAATTGGGTTGAATACCATCTGGTACTATATAAATAACAAGAAATAGTTCACGAAAAACTTGTACATCAGATGTAGTGTTGACAGAAAGAACAAGCAAGAAAATTAAAAAAGCAATGACAGAAGTGCCCAGGACTCGTGTTTAACCAGAGGTGGCATTGTGGAGCCCAGCCCATCTGTGGAGTTCTACTTCTGCTGTTGGAGGTGTGTGGTCCATGCTGCTACTTCCCACAGCAGGCTAGGAGATCATCACATTGTTACAGAGGGCCCGCTGCAGCCCTGCAGAGAGCTCACTGCAGACCTTGCCTGTCCTCTTCTGCACAAGGCTCTGAAAGGCCTCCTGACAACCTGATCCTCAACTGAAAACCTAAATCCCTGCCCCAAGTTAGATTGATAGGAAGCACAGTCCCACATGTTTGGACTCCAGCAGCTGTAGTCTAGGGCTGTGATTTGGGCTTCTGAGCCACGGGCACCAAGTCCTGGACTTCATACACACACCGGGCACTCACTCCTGCAAGCCTCTGCATTATTTATAGGCACCTCCGCATGCTCAGCACTGGAGTAAGCCTTGGTGAGAAGACAAGGAGAACTACTCATGATCACCTACTATGTTCTCAGCACTGACTGACACTGTCACACCAGCTCCTGCGTATGATGGTATTACCACACTTCACAGACGGAAACATGAGCTTCAGG